CTTTGAGCATTCCTCTGATTGGCTTTAGATTTCCTGTCTAAATATCATTCAGCCTTTTAGGAGCATGTCAGAGCAATTAACTTGTGAAATCTTGGTCTAATTGATGAGACAGATGTGAATGATTTCCCAAAAGAAAGCAATTTAGAAATATGCACTAGCATGAAAGAGACCAGGATGGTCTTTTGTACTCTGTCCCTGCTGTAGTCTTTCGGAAATGTCATCTGCTGCATTAGATTTTATGAAATCCAGAAATAGCAAATTAACTAATCACAGGTGCACGTACTCTTTAAAGAATCCTAGTGAATTAAGTCCTGAAAAAGGAATTCAAAAATTGCCACACCAAATATTTTGCTTTACTTTTTCATCATCCTGAGGCTGCTGAAGCACTCAAAGCTCACCCCTGCTTGACCTCAGCCTACCCAGATAGGCTGGCTTCTCTATACTGTTCAGTCTATAATTGACTTCTCTATATCCAGTGTTCATCTGTGCCTAAATATTACCTTATTGTAATTATTGATGATTTTGAAGAATTTCATTAGGATAGTAGACAAATTCCAAGTGTCCTTTTAAAAAAAAATATATATATATATTTTATGGTGGCTTACTGGAAAACAGTAGTTATTCAGTTTAATTTATTTTATTTGTGATACCAATATTTGTTTTGCTAGCTCAGTGGTCACATTATAAACTGAGACAAACTATAGCATAGGCAGATAATCAGACCTTTCTTACCACTTCCCCCTGCATTTATTTATTCTCCTCATAAGAAATGAAAATTAAAAGCCAGCTTCATTATGGAATATAAACATGCAAGTGCAGATGGCTCCCAGTGTTCCACTTCCTGAGAAAATATTTATCAATTTTCCCTTCTCATTAGAGAAAAATAAAACAAAATCTTCAGTGCAAAAGAGTTTCTGAGGATAACAGGACAATCCTGGAAGTGATTTTGAATGGTGAATTGCACAAATACTTGCCTGTATGTTGCTGGAATATGCAGGTTGTCGTGTCTAGCAGACAAGTCCACATAACACTTTCCCAGCTGGAAACCATGGTCTAAATAATAATAACAATATATTAAAAATATTAAAATATTTACATAAATCTATTTCTGAAGCTCTGAATTTTTTAATTGTCTAAGAACAATTTGGGGGCCATAGAGAAGAGTTCATTTTGGCAGCCTTCTCTACCTTTAGGCAGCAAACTGAAAGCAAACATGAAATGAACAGTAGTTTCAAAACAAGGTATGAGAAGAGAATACATGCCTTCCTTTGCAATTTTCCCATGTAATTTCGTTATTATTCTCATGCATGGCTCATTCTGCACAGAACATAAAATCTTTAGGACATGGAGGTGTCTATGTCATATCCTCAACACAACTACTTTGCTTCTTGGCACTGAAACAAAAAACTAATATGATGTCCTCATCAAGTTCTTGGGGAAAGATTTCCTTCTTGTTGTCGTATCTTAACATTAGCTGTTGATTAGGACCAAAATTGCAAGAGCTTTTAAGTAATAGAGAAAGACAGCTACTTTTTGAAAACACAGCACTGAACAGAAAGTCTTGAAAAGCTTTTGAAACATTAATAGAGGCTAATGTAGGTTTCTGTTATTCTTAATTTTTCAGGAGTGCAGCAAAGTTGGTTGTATCCTATCTGATATCCATATTGGGTGTTGAGCAGGATAGAAGGCAGTGGCTGTTTTAAATCTGCAGTCATCAAATCAAATTAATTCTGTTTTTTTCATTCTCTTTACAGGACTGTAGCTCATATTAAAACTTTTTATAGATCCCTTCTGAAATCCTTTCAAAAGGCTGTGGTCAAGTAGAGTCTTTGAAAGGAAATACATGGTAAAAAGAACTTCTGAAAGCTTAAATACCTGGTTGTGCTTTAGCAAAGAATGCCAGGAATTCACTTCACAGGTGGGATGATTTTACGTCTGGAAATTCAGCTCTGAGTTTACAGGCTATTATTGCAGAATGGGTAGTAATTGGGAAAAATTTGGCAGACAGAGAAATTCCTGAGCCTGATGTGTAAACAGAACTACATAAACAATATCTGATGTGGCAGTTCTGTTCTCATAATCTGTCTTTGGTGTTTCTTGAAAGAAAACATGTCCTGGTCAAGGACTGCTTCTTATTCTTAGTGCTTCAGCAGCTGCAGCCCTGGAGAGAGTTGCACCAGAACACATGTGAAGACTATTGCTCAGTTCGTGAAGGTTTTGCCTTGTATTGCTTTTGGTTAAGCTTTGACTCAGGTTTGAGTCCTGCAATGTTTTGCACTAGAATTCAAACTAGAGGCCCTGAGTAGGGCCTGCTTTTACTTCTTCATCAAAAGCTCAGCACAAATTCAAACCCACCAAATGTCTCCAAAACTATCTAACTAATGGTTTACATTTCACTTTTTAAAAATGTATTTCTCTATGTGTTTTCATCTTAAAATTCCAAGTTCTCATTTTTCTTTATTCTAAAATCTTTATAGATATGACCTTTTGACCTTTTGATTTAAAATCTCACAGAAACAAAATCAGCTCTTTCATTCCAATTCAAACACATCTGATAAATAACTCTTTACAAAGCTTCATGAAATTAATTCTCATGCTTAATGTTTTACAACTTTTTCCTCCACTCTTTTATACAGAAACTCTGTGTATGTTTTCTCTGCACCAAATACAACTCAGGAGGATGACACTTTGTGATACTCCTTCCAAAAGAATTCATTCTTTTCCACAAAAAAAGCCTCAATCCAAAGGGATCTCAAAACAGAGTGCTTTAAAAGTGTTTAAGAGAGTATAGTTTTGATGTTTTGTGATAATTGTGATAATTAAAAGATTCTTTTATAACATGGTCTGTAGTATCAACACAATCAGCATCTCTGTGCTGTTGAACCAGCACGTGTGTCTCTTGCACCTGAGAACTGTGCATGGAGCCAGCAACAGAACTCCCTCAATTTTTCTGATAGGTTTTTTTTTTTTTTGTGTGTGTGTTTTTTTTTTTTTTGTTTTTTGTTTTTTTGGTTTTTTTTGGGGTTTTTTTTGTGGATTCCTGAATTCCAAGTTTAGATCTCATGCTTCCAGGCTCCTCAAATAATGGGTTTTTTTGTTGTTGTTGTTATCCCCTAATATGAGCAGCAAACCTCTTATTTTACTCTCCGTAATTGTATCTAAACTCTTGAGGAAAATCTGGCATACTAGGATGTGCTTATTCTGGGATCAGTACTATTGCTATTATTCACCATGCAGCTGAAGGCAAAAAGGTGTACTACCTTTTTAATGGCACAGAGAAGAATACTTTATGATATAGCTGTGGTAAATGTTTTTATATATTTGTACAACAACCGTGCAGTATAAATTGGTATTTTACTGTTACGCTTGAGAAAGCAGTCTGAATAATATTGCTAAAGCAACAGTAAGAAAACTAGCATATCATAGACAATTCTCACTAGAAACATGTTTTGAAGGCCTTATTTTTGTTTGTTTTTTTTTTTTTTTTTGCACAAGAGCTGAGCTTGATTGAAAAATAATTGTAAAAGAACTCTAGAAGTCCTAATACAAGAAACATTACAAGAAACATGAAGTCTTCCAGAAAGACAAAAGTATAATTTCTAAAAAGGGATTTGTGGTTGATTCACCAGCTTTGTTTCACCATAAGGTTGTTCCTAATTTTGTTTCTGATAGATAGGTTTAATGGAATTAAATATTCCCTGCAGGTCTTCTGAGTTATGTAAGCCCTGCTTTAAAAGCAATCCCTTTTCATCTTAATAGTCTCAAGATAGTCTTGCTTCCTGACTTAGGTCTGGACAAACACCTGAAGGAAGTTTGCCAAGAGCTGTGAATACTCTGTCTGGTTGACAGAATTATGTTTGACCTCAGAAGACATGCACTATCTTCATTAAGGAAAACTTTTGAGAACCTGCCTTCAACTGTTAAAAAAAATAAATCCATTTGCCATAAATTAGTATTTGTTCCTTCCTCCTTTTTTAACCTGTTTCTTCTTTTTACCTGTAGTCAGGCTGTGTGCTTAAGTATGAATTAATCATTTGGTCAAAATGAGCAGTTTTTACTTCAGTCATCAGGATGTGTAGCTATCTATGGATAAAATTCCATTTGGTTACATAATCTAAGTTTGTTAATCAATTTTTTAGCATATTCTATTAATAACAAATTAGAACTGTGTTGCCACATGATTCAGTCAGCATACAAAGCGTCAACAGTAGGCACTTGGAAGTGTCTGTTGAAAATTCCTTCCCTTTTGCCTTTCAATCAGCTTCCCCACCTCACCATTCCCACACTGGAAAACCAGTCCCTAACACCCCCACCTTAATAGACAGAAACACCCATCAGGCAGTATGGGCAGGAGGAATGAATGTTGCTTTGATAAACAGAGAATCTTATTAGATCACTTTTCCACCTTGTGGCAGAATCCTCTCGGTTGCGTAATCCTCTCCCCCCACCCCACAAAAAGGACACTGCACTTCCAGCAGTGTCTTGCTTCTCTTTTATCAGATTTATACCTAGACATGATGTCTTCCATTTGCTGTTGTTGACTCATCTCATAAGTGCATAATTCTTGGAGTGAAGATATTATGAGGCCTCACAGTAAAGAAATAAATTGCATGTAATTTAATGCCTCCTTTGCTGCTCTTTCTGGAAAAACTCTTCTGGAATTTTCCTTTGTGGTGAGTAATCCCTGGGGACACATCATAGAAATAAATTAACGTTTGCTGGGAGAATGCAAGGACATTTATTTAAAAACTGGCAGTGTGAAATCAGAGAAAATATTGTCCCAGACAACATTAGCACAGCAACATCTGTGCGATTGTCTTGAAATCACACAAAACGGGACAAAAAGCTCATGGCGCAAAGGGCGCCAACCACCTTGTCAGGCACCAATGAGCCTTTCTTTCAAGCATGCCTTCTCTGCCCTGTTTTTTCTGTGCATGGGACGCGGCAGTGGTTTCTGCGGAGGCAGCCCAGCCTCCCGCGGAATGCTAACCACTGCGCCGTCACGGCAGGCCACAAAGGGCCGATGCTGCCTTCTCTGTCCCGCTTTGCAGAGCCGCGCAAGCATTGCCATCTAGCGTGGGCCGGCTAGAACATGCCACTCGCGGGCGTCCTCCCCGGATGGGGCACCAACCAAAGCCAGGCGCAAATGTTATGGTCGCAGAAAAATATTCCTGCTCCTTTCGGCAACTGCAGTCTGTTGATGAAGTCTTCCATTGCCTTCTGTCTTCAAACGTACAGTAATTTTGGTCTGTGAATTTTCTTTCTGTTTTCAGAAAGCAATGGAGGAAAACCTGGTGGAAGTACATTCAAAGTTACACAATTGTTTTAAAAGGTATTGAAAAGGATGCATGAAAACCTATGTTCCCCTCCTGTTGTAAGCCAGATTTCAACCAAAGTTGCTACAGCCATAGCACACGGTACAAGCCACTGGACTGTCACAGCAAGCTGGCACATTGTGACAGATTTTGAACAGACATGGCAGAAAAATATCAAGTCTAGTAAAATAACAAATGTTGAAATCAATGAGTCATTAAAGAAGGATTTCTGCTCAGGCTTCTGAGTTAAGGTTTCAAAACACAAGTGTTCTCAGTAGAGTTATTCTAATAATTGTCTTACTAAAGATCTCATACCTGCCATTTAGCATCACTTTTTAATTCTGTGTCTGACAGTGATAACAAACAAAGATTGATAATACCAAGTATCTTCCCAAATCTGTTAATTAGTTAAAAAAGTGGAAGGAATTGGTCGATACAACAGATGGTTGTGCTGCCATCCCAAGGGACCTTATAAGGATGGAGAAATGGGCTGACAGGGATTCCTGGAAACTCAACAAGTGAAAATGCCAAAGCTGGCACCCAGGGACAAACAACCCCATGCACTGCACATGCTGGGGGCAAACCAACAGAGTGCTCTCTGTCATGGAAAGAAGCATGGCAGAAAATGGCCTGGGAGTCCTGATGGACACCAATCTGACCATGAGCCAGCAGTGTGCCCTTGTGGCAAAGAAGACAAAAAGCCACCCTTGCTGCATCAGGCAGAACATTACAACAGGTCAAGAGAGGTGACCCTTTCTCTGTCCTCAGCACTGGTGAAACACATCTGGGTGTGTGTCCAGTGCTGGTAAAAGAGAGACATGAATATACTGGGACAAGTCCACTGAAGAATCCCTAAGATGATGAAGGGCTTGCAGCTTAAATAGTGGAGCTGGGGCTTTTTACATTCAAGAAGAGCAGGCCTGGGGGAGGAATTTATCAATGTGCATCCATATCTGATGGGAGAGTAAAGACGTTGGAGCCAGGCAGTGATATGACTGGAGCTGTATGTATGGAGCCAACCAGAGTGTGTGCAGTGATAGGACAGAAGGTGATGGGCAGAAATTGAAATAAAGGAAATTATTTTTAAATATAAGGAAAACTTATTACTGTGAGGGTACTTGAATACCAATTGCCCAGTGAGGTTGTGGAGTTTCCCTCCTTGAGGTATTCAATATGGTCTTGGGCCATAGCCAAGCTTTGGCTGACCCAGCTCAAGTCACTGTGGTACTAGAGATTTCCAGAGAGGCCAGACAGCTTCAGTGATTCTGATCCTTGGGAAAAGGAAAAAAAAAAAAAAAAACCAAAATAAGAGCAACTCAAACCTCTTAACCAAAAATAAAATGGCAGTGCTTGAAAAAAAATTTTTAACATTTCTGTAATGTGTTTATGTACTTAACAGCACAGGCAATTGAGCAGAGGGAGTCCATGAGTGCCAAGAACGGGATACTGAAAGCTTGACAATCTTCCCTGTCAAAATCCACAAAGTCTGTGTGAGCCAAAGAAGTAAGCAATGGCTGGAAATTTAGTATCTTGTTTGGTACAAAACCTTCTTCTATGTTTTCAGAATTGACAAAGGCTTTACAACATGCATCTTGCCCAGCACATGTGTATGCTATATTTTTCCTGGGAGTTAGAGGTACCCAGTGATGGATATGAATGTTTAAAGGTATAGATTAGCAAGATTTTCCGGAATTTTTCAGCTTCCTATTTTAGCCAAAGTGAATGAATATACATTACATTGTTTCAGGAAAATTCCTGTGATTATGAAAAAAGAAGCTGCCTGTCTAGTAGCCACAAATAAATAAAAATATGTCAGTTTACCACTGTATTCAGACTACACTATTTTTTCTTTTTTCTTTTTCTTTTTTCTTTTTCTTTTTTCTTTTTTCTTTTTTTTTCTTTTTTAAATGTCTTCACACAATGTTGTATGTGCACATACAACATACACCACATATCTGGTTGTATGTGCTAGAATGATAATAGGAATATTTAAAATTGTGCTGCAAATTAATTTCATTTATCGTATTTTATTCTGTCTCAGTTTTTGAAGTTCTGGATTTGATCCAAAAGTCTAAATTATTTTATCATGTGGCACAAGGCCACATTTCTGCACCTAAACATGTATGCATAGTTTTAATTACAATTCTTAGTAAGACTCTGTGTTAAATAAGAGACTTTAGCATCTGTAATACTTCAGCATGGTCTAACGTAGATAAAATTCCTATCCACTTCATATTTAAGGCCTACTTTCAGCCCAGTAATCTCTCTCTGTTGCTTCCATCCTCCACACTTCTCTTTTCTTGAAAATAAACCATATTATTGTCAGAAAACTCAATGCAAATCTATTAATTGTGTGGTATTGTGTGTCATTCAAGAACAGGAGTGTTTTTTGTAACATTTTAAACTAAAAAGCATGCTTATGACATGAGTAGGTATGAATCAAAGCTTCTGCCTTTGACTCATCTTGTGCATTTGTGACTGTTAAACATGACTAGTTGCTGTTGGCATCCGAGGAAAAACCTGTCACATTAAACTCTGTCAGCATGTCTGAATACAAAGCATGTGGCTCTGGGGATTCCTTGGTTTGATAGCAGGTTTCTTTAGTTAATTGTGATTGCTGAAATTTAGATGAGACCTTGATTCATTTGGAAATTCAGAATCTTGGGCTAATGTTGCTGAACACCAGAATGTCTCCTTGAAATAATCCTGCCACATTGTGTTTCCAGTTTCCATTTAAAAATAATCCAAGAAGCAGTGGTTGTGTCTAACTTGGTAGCAGAAGCAGAAGAAACTTAGCTGTGCTCATAGGGTCGCAAGGTTGCTTTACCTTAGGGCAGGCAACAGCAACACTGTTGAAAAGAGGATTCTAGGGTAACGCAAAACTCAGAGGCAAGTCATGTCACCTTTTTGTGTGTTCAGTGTGTAGCTACTAGGGGATAGCCAGACTGCTCAGGTGCATAAGCACTCTAACTCACAGTGGTAAAGCAGACCTCTGCCCCAAGGCATCTGCAGAGTCATTTGTAGTACCATTTTCAATATTGCAGGAAATGTTACTGCTACAGTTCAGATTCTGCTGTTGCTGCTAGTAAAATCCCCTCACCCTGTAATCCATTTTCACCTTACCTAACCTGTCTTTCCTTGTGTACCATGACTTAAATTTTCACTGTATTAACTTCTGTTATGTTTGCATTATATCAATATAAAGTAGCCCATGGATACACACTATGGGTTATTGCACACTTAAATAGTAACATAACTTCCAGAAAAAATGGCCCCAGAGCAAGAGGCTTATTCCTGGGCTGTGCTAAGGATGCAGAAGAGCTAACTCAGCTGCTACAGCCTGTGCACTTTCCTGAGAAAAATAAATAGGCCTCCCTAAGGGGTGTGCATTCCAAAGTAAATTCTTTAATTAACTAAATTTAATTGCAATGATCCAAATAACAAGGCAGCACTAAATTAGTCTGAAGAGTTATTTGTTAAAATAAAAGCTTGTAGCACAGAATTATCTCTGCAACTATTCCAAATGTAGTAATTGAGCCTCTTGTTATACTTACTTTTTAGTTGTCTGAGATGTTATGTGTAGAAGATTATATATGAATTCAATGCAGACTGCAGAATGCTTAGAGTATGCGTTCAATGTAATATTAGACAAAAAAATATATTTGGGTTTGAAGTGTATCAGTGTCTTTTCCAATAATTTTTTTAAAATCCTTTATCATAACCTGAGTTTGATGATAAACATCTTACAGTTTAAAATCACTTTTTAAATTAATTTCTCATCTTAAGATAGTACTGGCTTAATGTAAAAGATAGTGAATGTTTTTTATGAGATATGAATTTTATCATGTCTAAACAAGACACTGGATAATAAACCTACTTTTAAGTAAACCTGTCTGGCAAATTAAACTATATGATCCTGAGGAAATCCGTAAAATATCCTATGACTCTGTTGAGTTGGAGTTCTGGTGCAGAAACATGACTCACATAATGCTGAAAAGAAGCCAGAGGAGAATAAGGATAGATACTGAAAGTTAAAACCAATCACATCCAGCTGTTTCAGTCTGTCTGGCACACATATGCCAAAACCTGTCTTAATTCATGACCAGTATTAATTTTATTTTTTTTATTTTTGAAGGTTGTTCCAGCTCTAAAGCAGTTTCAGTGGTGATATATCCCTCTGAGATGAGCATGTCAGACTGGAACAGACTATTGTTAGGAGACTTCTGGTTTGAAATCATACCTTTTGTACTCACAATTGATATAAACACATACAGCAACTGTCAAGGCCAACATTTTAAACAAACATTAAAGACCCACTTGCAAAATTCTGACTTTGGGGTGTTAGAGTGCAGAGGAGCCAAGTAGATTTCTTGTCTGTTCAGACAGTACTGTATTGAATCTATTCAGAAGAAACTTTTCCATGACAGCACCTCTCCAATGAGGAAAAGCTGAGAGAGTTGGGTTTGTTCGGCCAGGAAAAAGAAAAGGCTTCACAGAGACCTAATTGTGGTATTCCAGTACCTGAAGGGAGCCTACAAAAAGATGGACAGAGGCTACTTATAAAAGCATGTAAGCACTGGAACAGGTTGCCCAGTGCAATTAGGGATGCCCCATTCCAATGCTGAAGGCCAGGTTGGATAGCACTTGGAGCCATCTGGTCTAGTGGAACACTCATGGCAGGGGGGTTGGAACTAGAGGACCTTTAAGGTCCTTTCTAACCCAGACTACTTTATGATTCTATGATAACTATGGCAGAGAGAAATTTTACAGAAGCCACACTTACAGCTTGTTCTTGGAAAGGGTAACCATGAGGCAAAAACTCAAAGGAAATGTTTACATACTTCTCTTATGCACAGAGCTGGCAAAATGTTCAGACCAGCTGTTACAAGGGGAATACTCATCAGTCCATTTCAATCCTATAACCAAATTGAATCTGATCATGGATGCTACCTGGGCATCCTTCAAAATAGGAAAAG